ACACCAGAGAGAAAGAACTAATCTGAAAAGAGGAAAGAACTGAGGAATCCCAAAGGCAAAGGATTGGGTAAAAAAGGGGCAATTGGATTGAGATCAAAAGGGACCAAGGGATCCCATAATCCCAAAGAAAAAGCACTGAGATTGAGGGAGCCAGGGAATTGAGGTCAGAAGAGATAAGGGACTGAGCAATCCCAAAGCCAAGGGAATGACTTCCAAAGACAACAAGGGATTTAATTCAGGATGGGTAAGGGACAGAGCAACCCCAAAACCAAGAGATTGAGATTGAAGTGTCCGAGGGATAAAGCAATCCCAAAACAAGGGACTTGATCCTGGAGAAGTCAAAGAATTGAGATCAAAAAGAGGCAAGAGACTGAGCAATCCCAAACCCAAGGAATTCATCCCAAAGGGAGAGAGCACAAAGGGATCCTGCCATCAGCAACACCAAAACCAGTGGAAACCTGAGGATAGCAACATTCCAAATTTCCCTGCTCTCATACTTCAGTGCATTGGGCTGGTCTCTCCTCCACCAAAGTCTTCCTTACTCCTCCAGTAAGTATGATCCCAACACACTCAAGGTGTGTTGAAGACAGAAGTCAGGGTCATGATGGACAAACAAGAAGCTTGGGATGTTTCCATGGACATGGGGAAAAGACAAAGCCCAGCACACCAGAGCAAATCCTCGCTAATTCCCATTAAAATTAAAAACAGAGACAGATTATGGGTGGTGGAAACATTCCAGTCCTGAATCCCTCCTTTCCTTCTGTAAAAAGAAGTGGCTCAGAGGAAGGAGCATTCTCACAAGTGCTGGGCCAACAGCAGCGCTGAGCATTTCATCATCCTTGAAAAAGTTGGAACCGTGTTTCCATGACATTCAGCACTTGCAAAATGAGTTGGTAAACAGGGAGGCCAGAGAGCACTTTCTTTCAGCTCTGCGGAGTGTGGAGCTCTCCCACTGCAGCCCAAATTGTTTTCAGGAGCATCCATCACCTGTCCCCAGCCTGATGCAGTGGAGGAGGGAGTCCAGAGATGCTCCAAGGGATGGAGCCAGGCTGGGAGAGCTGGGAATGTCCAGCCTGGAGAAGGTTCCAGGGAGACCTCAGAGCCCCTTTCAGTGCCTGAAGGAGCTCCAGTAGAGCTGGAGAGGGACTTGGGACAAGGGATGGAGTGACAAGACATAGTGAATGGTTTCCCACTGCCAGAGGGCAGAATTAGATGGGATATTGGGAAGAAATCCTTCCCTGTGAGGGTGATGAGGCCCTGGCACAGGTTGCCCAGAGAAGCTGTGGTTGTCTCATCCCTGGAAGTGTCCAAGGCCAGGTTGTGTGGGGCTTGGATCAACCCTGGATAGTGGAAGGTGCCCCTGCCCATGGCAGGGGGTTGGAATGAGATTGTCTTTAAGCTCCTTTCCAACCCAAACTATTCCATGATTCCATGACCTTCCATCTCCCCAGCTGATCACCTTCGCAGCAGAGAGAGGAAACTGAGGCAGGAGGGGATGTTACACACCAGGATGGAGGCAGGAAGTGCATCCAGATGCAGGGAAAATCCCTCCCAGTTCTTGAAGGCTGAACTCAACCATGTTTTAATTAATAATTTTCTTCTCTGGGATCAGAGCCACCATCACAATGTGTGGGAGATGCCTCAGCTCGAGAGGACTTAAAACTCCTCTTAAGCCTCCACCTTTGGGAGCCCAGAAATCCTGGGTATCTCCAAGGCTCTGGAATCTACGGTCATGGAGACAATTTGAAAATTCCAATAAATAAAATCACATTGTTCAAGAGGCCAGCTGTCACCTCTGGAGTCCCCAAAGCCACCAGCCTTTCTCCAACCAAGAGCTAAAACCTCAGCATGAAGAAATCATGCAGGTGATGATTTGCCCATGGAAAAATAGCTTGGACACCTGGAAAACCCTGCTGGAGCCAGCCCCAGCTCACGGAGTGCAATTCCCCTCTCGGCAGCAGCGGCGGCTCGTGCAGAGATTGGGGTCAGGGCTGGTTTCCGGACAATGTCAACCCGTAATTTGCTTTCTGCTGCTTTCAATCTTGTATTTCCCCTTCTGTATTTCTTTGTGAAACTCTACATCGCCTGGGACCTTTTGCTTCTCCCCCTGATTTCATGGAAATTCCTCAAGAGTCTGGAAAATGCCTGAGCAGCTGGAGAAAGAAATGAAGGAAAAGTTCCTTGTGAGAGGAGAAACCCAATTATTCTGGTTGTTTAATTAATTGCCAAGTAGCCAATGCTGTCCACAACATCCCACTGCTGATTTTCCAAGACTTCTGCAAAGTGAAAAAATACATGGGTGCTGAAATATCAGTTATCCCAAAGGGAAAGAGCCTTTCCATGCGTGATTCCACATCTTCGTCTTGCACAGGGATGAGCAGAGAGAGTTTAAGCTCTGAGTTTTCTTCTCCATCCTTGCCTGAGCAATTAATTATGCCACATGCAAGATCCCTAACCAGCTGGAAAGACAAAAAAAAAAAAGTATTTTTATCTCTGTATTTTATTTGCCGTTTTCTAGAGACAAGTGTGGAAGGCGCAGAAATCCTTTGGGAGCAGAGCCATGTGTGGGATGAGAGCAAAGTTCTCAGCAGCTGCACAGGCCGTGGTGATGCTGTGATTGATCCAGGGAGTTTTTTAATGTTCAAACCACCTCCAAAAATTCTTCCTGGGACTGTAGTGACACTTTCCTTGACATGACACCCCAAGCCATGTGCCCTCCTCACCTCTCCAGCACCAACAAAGCCAATTCCAGAAGAGCCATGGAAAACTGTTCCTCCCATTGCTCCGGGTAGCCTCAAGATTGATCCCAATACAGCACAAGGATGCAGGAAGTGCATCCCCAAGATCATATCTTAACTCACCACCAGCATACATCAATAAATCACTTGGGAATGCTACGATGGTGTGGATGGATCAGCCCCAGTGCCCGGCATCAGATTTTGTACAGTAGAGATAAAAAACCCCAACCCTATAAATCCAGGGAAAGAGCAGAATTATAACCCACTGGAAGTAAACTCCAAGCTATTAAACTGTCAGGAGCATTTCCCATTTCTCCCCTATTCCAAACACACGGTGCCTGGCACTGAAAGGGAAAGGAAAAGCCGTTTTTTTCCATCTTTTAAATAAACTTTGTCAAGTGTTGAAAACACAGAGCGTTGAGCAAACGTTCGCAGCCGATGAGAACACACAAATCTTCCGCCCTGCCAGGCCCAGTTATCCTAAGGCAAGAGGAATCTGTGGAATCCATCCTTGGGAAGGAGGATGAATTGTGGGGAGAGATGAAAGATGACATGAAAATACTGATTCACAGCAGCTCCTCAGGTTTTGTGGTTACTAAGCCAACGTGATATGTGAAGGGGAAAGGGGCAACAGCAAAATAAGGAACATCTTCAAAATAATAATTAGATGGGAATGTATTTTATAGGGAATAACCCTGGAAGGAATCTTCCCTCCCTAAGTGGGACTAATTAAACCCAATTTTCTGAATGAGACCTCACTAGAAGACACGGTTTCAGTGAGAAAGGAAAAATGGGGGCATCACATCTCTTCCATGCCCTGTCACCCCAAATCCCCTCAGGTACCCCCCACAAGCAATTCCAAGGCCTGAATCTGCAGAAATCCTCCCACGATACCTTTGGATCCATCTCTCCTCCAGAAATTTGCCTCTAAGTTGGTGTTTCTCTGCTTGGTCCCAATCCAGTGATGGATATTCAAGGACAGGCTGAATCTATCAGCCTTTGCTGAGTTGCCTAAATGAGACTTTGCTCATTTGTCTATTTCCAGACAAATTTAGAGACTTCCTTGCACTCGGATAAATAAAAAAATTCACCTTCTTGCTGGGAGGTAGGGCCTTTTCCACCCATGTCCTCCCCAAAAAGAAGTTCATTAAGCCTGTTCTTTAAAAAAAATCTTTAAAATAATGGAGATTTTAGAGCCAAATGAGTCCAGCATTTCATCATCCTTGCCCTTGGAAAGCTCTCCCACCAGTTTAAGCCCCTTAGTTTTTGGCTGCTCCACCTGGCCATGGAGAGATATCCTTTCTTTGCTTAGTATCTTCAGATCATCCACTTTTGCAGTCCTTCCAGCCATCACTACTCCCCAGGACTCTTCCTAGTGTTCCAAGTCTGTCCTGAAATCCATCCAACAACATCCCTGTCCATGTCCTGGGTTTCACCCCTTTTCTTCCATTCCTGCAGGATATTTTCTGCCTTTGTTGACATCTTCAATGCCCAGAAATGGTGCTGAAGGCAGAACCACCCTTGAGCTAGTTTTGGAATATCCTGATCCAGAGACTGGAAAATCCCAGCACCAGTAGCAAAGCTCTTGGAAAAAATCCGATTTCTTTTCTACAAACCCCTGAGCTGTTTTATGGACACTTTTTCTGAGTCTCCAAACTCTGATCCACCTTCCCCAGTTTAACTATTTCCAAAAATTCTTAATAAACAGTTAGGGTGCAAAAATATTTGAGACCAAGAAGAAATTTTAAAAATACCTTAAGCACAGTTAAAATCTGCTCTTTTTTAAGAGTCACACTTGAGATGTTAAACACAGGAGAAGCTGAAGCACAAATTTAATCAAAGCCATGATGTAAAACTGGAATTCATCACAATGGGGGGCATCATTCCACGGTTATCTGCAGAATGATCTTCCCAAATTTTTAGGTCAATATTGAATGTAATTTGCTGAGCATCTCAAGCACATTTAATCTCATGGTGCCGTTTAAAGTTATTCAAGATTTTGCCCTTTAAACCAAGTTTAATGGCGCGTCTCCACAAGCTTGAATTAAGCTTGACTTAAGAAAACCTCAATTTTCCCAATCTTTTAATTTCCCCAACATTTGAAACTACTATAAAGCAAGAACAGCACTTGGCACCATGGGATGTCCACCACTTTCACATCTGGAATTCTATAAGGTGGAGGATGAATTGCAACACACAGGCTGGGAATAAAAACTGAACTCAATGGATTTTGGACATGAACTGGGACAAATTCCTGCTCACCTGCTCTGATGGGAGTTCTGGTGCCCAGGTCCCTGGCCCGGACAGGGCTGCTGGAGGTTTTGGAGAGTTTGTTGGCTGACACCCGGTACATGACGCCGCCGATGCAGCGGAAGCCTTTGCTCCTCCAGCGCTGTTGGACGAGCTGGGATTTGCCACCTTGGAGTAAGGGTCGGGTCTGGTTTAACAATGGGGATCTGCAGGAAAAATAAAGTTAAGGTCAGCCCAAATTTGGGATAATGTCACAGAGGTGTTGTTTCATGAGCAAACCATGGGATGGGAGACTCATGGAATGGTTTGGGTTCAAAGGGACCTTCAAGATCATCTCATTTCCACCCCATTTCCAAGGGCAGGACAGCTCCCACTAGAAGGGAAGAGATGTATGGAAGAAGCAGGGATGTTCTTGCTATTCACAGAGGAAAAGCTCTGATTCCTCATGACTGACACCAAAAACACGACCTTCAGGGACTCTTCCCCCAACTTCTCCCACCTTTGCTTGCATCTCCAGCCCCAGCAGAATCAAGGAAATGTGGATGCAATCCCATGAGAGAATCAGCAAGGTGGGACCTTCACTGAGCTTAGTCAAGTTTTATGGAGCTCTACAAGCTTTGACATCCCTGGAAGTACATCAAAGCCAGGTGGAATGGGACACTGAACAATCTGATCCAGTGGGTGGCATCCCTGTCCATGACAGGGGTTTGGAACTAGATGGTCTTTATGGTCCTTTCCAACCTAAACATTCCATGAGTCTGTATCTTTGCTATCATTATTACTGTTATTAATTAGATACCACAACTTTAATATTTTTATTCTGCCCCCAAATCTGTCTCTTGGAAGGACTTTCCTCAATCCCTGCATAGGACCAATCATCCAAGAGCATTTCCATCCGTCACCAGTCACCTGGAGCTGATGCTGGACCTCAGCAGGGTCCAGTGGGCAGGGCTGGGGACCTGTTCCCACCTCCCCAACTCTCCCTAAATTCACAAATCCCGTATTGAGGCAGTGGGATGGAGACAGACTGGGAATCCCAATCCATTATTCTGAAGGACCCAGTAAGTTCTGAAGTGACACCTAAGGGATAAATATCACAGAATCCCAAAATCTTTCAGGTCTGAAAAGACCTCCAAGGCTATGAAGTCCAACCTGTGACCGATCACCACTTTGTCAATTAGACCAGAGCACTGAGTGACACGTCCAGGCATTCCTTGAGCACCTCCAGGGATAGGGACTCCATCCCACCTCACTGGACAGCTCATCCCAATATTTAACAATGAAACAATTCCTTCTGATGTCCAGCCTGAACCTCTCCTGGCACAGCTTCAGGCCATTTCCTCTCATCCTGTTGCTGGTTGACAGGGAAAAGAGGTCAACCTCCATCTTGCCACATGTCCCAGAGAGGCTCCTCTGTCACCCAAAATCTTGTTTGCTCCATGACCTGATACCTCCTGCACCACCCCACCTCCGTCCCGACCCACAACGCAGCCTCCCATCTCATTCCTATCCATCCCCCATTATCCAAACAGAGCCACTGCAGCCAAATCAAATCTCCTCCAATATCAGTCGCCTTCCTCATTTAGCGCTAATCCAAACAGTAATTTGTTTATGCAAATTAGAGCTCTAATTTTGTATTAGCCCAAACTATGCTCATAATGCTATTAGCAGAACGTATATAAACCGCGCATTACCGGAGAATATCCGTAAATTAAGATCCTGCTATCCTATCAGCGGAATGCAAACCCCGATGAGCATTTCCTTTAAATGAACATGTGCTCCAAAGAAAAAGAGAGCTGGAAAATGGAATAGTTACATTTCCTAATGCTGAGCGTGACAGCCTATTCATTCCGGAGGGCTGTTGCCACTGGCTACCGAGCTCGGAAAATTTGCTGCTTGGTTTTTGTGGGAAGGGGATGGGAATTGGATAAATTCCTCGTTTTAGCTCCCCCAGGGTTTTCTCCTCAAGGAATTGCTCCGGAGAGGAGCATCAAGTCTTAGTGACTTGCAAAGGAGTCACGGCAGTGGCGTTGTTGGGTGAAGGGGGTGATGGCATGAGGGACACTTGGGTCACTCATGGATCACCCAGCACATTCCAGAAAACTCCAGCAAGGCCAAGGATGCATCCAGCAGTGGCTGGAGGACATGAAGAAAAGTCTTGTGGCCATATCAGGGGCAATAAAAATGATATCAAATATCAAACAGCCGGGAGGGTGACAGAGATGATTCTCACCCTCTACTCTGCTTTTCTGAGATCCCATCTGGAGTTCTGTGTCCAGCTCTGGGGTCCCAGCAGTAGAAGGATGTGGATCTGTTGGAGCAGATCCAGAGGAGGCCATGGAGATGCTCTGAGGGCTGGAGCCCCTCTGCTCTGGAGCCAGGCTGGGAGAGCGAGGGGTATTCAACCTGGTGAAGGGAAGGATCCAGGGAGACCTTGCCATGCTTAAAGGGATTCCAGGAGGGCTGGAGAGAGACTGTGGAAAAGGGATGGAGTGACAGAATAGAGGGAATGGGTTCCCTCTGCCAGAAGGCAGAATTAGGTAAGACACTGGGAAGGAATTCTTCCCAGGGAGGGTGGTGAGGTGCTGGGATGGAGTTCCCGGAGAAGGTACAGCTGTCCCACCCCTGGAAGTGTCCAAGGCCAAGTTGGATAGGGCTAGGAGCAACCTGGGATACTGGAAGGTGTCCCTGCCCATGGCTTCCATGGAACTGGACAATCTTGAACCTTCCAACCCAACCCATTCCAGAATCCTAATGAAGGTATTGCAGAACACCACCATGGGTGTGACGAGACCCATCCCAGCTCCATCCATCTCCTCTTCCTCCCAGAGACACATTCCTGGACGGACCCCAGGATGCTCCACTCCTCCATTCACAGGGGCTGTAGTGCCAGTGGATTTGGGGCTCCTTTTTCCGCACTGAATCAGTCCCTTTAAGGACTTCTGTAATTCCATATATATTCCCTATATGTTATCTCTGAGTAATATATAGATTTATCCACACACATCTATTTCCATATAGATACACATATAATTGAATATATATACCCTGAGTGTATGTATGGAAATACAAGATCTATATATTATATAGAATAACAAATATTGTTACTTTCATACATAAATCTATATATTATCATCTGTATTCTCTGGGCCTTCTATATCCATCAATTATCTCTAGATACTATTGAATATATGCACTGAATGCATATATTGAATTATATTTGTTCAATAACATCTAGATATGTTCAATATATATATTTATTAATTCTTAGAGATAATTTATGTGAGGCCAGATACAATTTTTATTCTTAGCACTTTATATTATTCATATATTATTGAATATATAGCATATATATTGAATTACATATATTCACTAATACATAGGCAATACATAAAATATATAGATATTGTTTTCTATATATTATACATTTCTTATTTTCCTTAACTCTAGTAGAGGGGAGGGAAGAAGTCAGGGGTTCATCCAACATTCCCCACTCTGGTTTGTAGGGAAAGGCTGGGATGTGCCACAGCTGTGGAAGCAATCAGGGCATGGATATACAGATATACAGATCTATAGATCTATAGACATATAGATACACTATAGATATATATAAACTACATGCAGACGTATATACATAAAGGATAAACATATTTAAATAGATATTATATGTATTTAAATATATATTGTATCTATATAATTATATCTATATATTATCTATATATTATAGATATAGATATATCTATATATCTATATATTATAATTATATCTATATATTATCTATATATATTATATATCTATATATTCATATATATAAAATGATTCTATATCTATAGAGATACATTCAATATCTATTGAATATAAATTTACATGTATGTCTTAATACATTATATTATCACACAGACACACATAAATGAGGTAATACATTAAATTAAATATTTTTTGGCTGTAATGTCAATAAAACCCAACCCACCCCAAACCCTGCACAGCCACAGGGGCTGCTCACACTACCTAAGCCTGACTCACTGGTTTAAGCACCAGTTTAACACCCAGTTGGTTGAATCCCTCAAATGCTCAGGATATTTATTTTCCTGCCTTCCTGCTCTCAGATTACCAAAGTGGTCACACACCTCTCTCTTCCTTAGAATTCCTTAGGGATGGCCAAGCTCCAAACTGAGGGAACCTCCAAACACAGACACGGTATCAGAACATCCCCACTGAGGCAGGAAGTTGGAAGAGAATGATTTTTAATGTTCCTTCCAATCCATTCCTTGAATCTATGATTTTTTCAAGGATTTTGACAAACAACATCAAAACTCATCTCATTCCCCAAAGGGAGTGGGGCTGAACCTCTTCTAATTTAAACTTGTTGTATTTTTGAGGAGACAAGTGACCTCTGGGTGGTCTCCAAGCTAAGCTTCTGCAGAACATCTGCTCAGGCTGCCAAAGCCCCAAGGGTCACCAGACTGAAGCCATGGAATCATCACAGAATGATCTGGGTTGAAAGGCATCTTCAAAATCACCAAGTTCCAATTCCCCTCCGGGGTCACCTTCCAGTAGAACAGGTCACTCCAAGCCCCATTCAATCTGGCCTTGAACATTTCCAGGGATAGGGAGTCCCAACCAGGAGCTCAGTTTGAGCTCACTGGAGGCTCGGCTACCTCCATTTCCAACTTCTGGGTGGTACAAATCTCCAAGCAGTGATGTCCCCTCATCCTTTTATATCTATAAAGTAATACTTATTAGAATATCGGCATGATATTTATTATATTATAGGAGCCTTAAGTGTTTTAAAATTTAAGGGAAATTATGTTTTATAGGGAAAAACTGCGTCCACAAAGAAGAGCGGGGAGGAAACTCAACTTCCCAAACTTCACTTGCAGGAACCCTTTATTTCCCTCTGAATCCAAGGTGATGCTCCCAAATGCTTGTGTGGCCCCAACACAGCCACCAGTGTGTGCGTCCCCCCTCCCTCTTAGTGACATCCAAGCTGGAGGTGGCAGGGAAAAGCCACCGGCGAGGGCACGGAGCCGAACGCCCATCGCTTTTCATCGGCGGCGGGATCCCAGCTCTCCGTGGAATTGTTACCCTAATGGAAAGGACGGCCTTTGGAAATGAACTGTATTGACAAAAGAGGATAAAATTAACGAGATAATAGCTGGGCCAAGGACCTGAAGAATACACTGGGCCCCTCAACACGAGGGCCTTG